GTGAGGGCAGTGATCCCCTGGGGCAGGTTGCCCCGAGAAGCTGTGGCTGCCCCATCCCTGGAGGTGTCCAAGGCCAGGTTGGACGGGGCTTGGAGCAACCTGGGCTGGGGGGAGGTGTCCCTGCCCAGGGCAGGGGGGTTGCAACTCGATGATCTTTAAGGTCCCTTCCAACCCAAGTCATTCTGTGATTCTACGATGTTTCCATGGTTCTCCATGTCAGACAATAATGAAAGCTGAGCAACAACACTGCACGCACATCTTTTCCTCCTCAGTGCTTGAATGTTGCCTTCAGTTATTACTGTGTCCTGAGGGTCCCGTCTGTCGCCTGTGACCCCGAGTCCCTCAGTGTTGCATTATCTGAAAGTAGACACAAGACTTGGCAAAGACTGCTGCCGCCTTTCCGTGGAAGTTCAGCAAAGAGCAGTAAAACCTGTGGTGGTTCCTGTGGCCTTGGACTGGGAAAGCTCTGGGTGAAGTCTGCACGAGGCTGAAAGGAAAACTGAAGCTGATGGCCCAGAGCCATGGCACTGCTGTGTGTGTGGGAACCATGAAGAGTGAGAAGCTCAGCTGATGTCCTGGAAAAGGAGCCCTGACTATGAAATGCCAAGTGAGAAGTTACTGCCGGAGACACGGGGAACCAAGGCATTTTCTGCACAGTGGATTGCGAAGGTGCTGTGGGTCGGTGCTGGTGCCTTGTCCCTGCTCTTTGTGGCTGTTGTGGATCTGTTCTTGAGTGAGATCTGTCATGAGTGGCCAAGTTTGCTCTCTCAAATTGAGAAGCGAAGCGTTGCTGTTGTTGTGCAGTGCCGACCTTACACAGTTCTTAACTACCTTCTCCTTGCAGTGGGGTGGTCGGGCAGTGGGCAGCACTTAGGAGGCTGCTTCCATCACCACCTGGCTGCTGTCTCTTGGTTCTCGCTTGGGATGGTGGTGCTCGCTTGGCCGGGCTGGCTCGGTGTGCTCTCTGGGGTCCCTCACCGACAGCGGCGTGCAGCACCTTCTCCAGAAGCTGCTGATGGTCCAGACAGCCCGGCACCGGCGGTGGGGA